CCTTGGCGGTCTTTACCTGACTGAACGGTGCCCTTGAGTACGGGCCGATGAGCGCTCGACACGCCGCTGCGGGCCGATGAGCGCTCGACACGCTGCTCTAACCATGGCTCTGCGTAACCGCTGATCTGGAGTGATAGAATCCTAGAATCGTTTAGGTTGGAAAAGACCTTTCAGATCATCCAGTCCAACCATTAACCTACACTGCCAAGTCTACTCTAAGACAGTCAAGGGTAGACTAGACTAAACCGTGTCCCAAAGTGCCACATCTACCCGTTTTTTGAACACAAATGATGCAGTACCTAGTGTTTAAATGCATGGCTGGGTTTGCTGGGGAACTTGTAAATGCGTACAGACTGTGATCGGCCCCTATGCCTGTTCGTTAGTTGTGTGGAGCTAGTCTATCGTGACAGAGTTAGCATTAGTAATTGTTTCCCGCGTGTGCTGGGCACGCGTACTGAGCTGCTGTGGGTTTAGCCTTTAGAACTGTCGTACTGTCGCTGCTCAGTCTGAGCCAATTAGGGTGTCCCCCCTAGTTTATTAGGAGCAGTTTTCGCCCGAAGAGCACAAGGCATAACCTGGTGTCTCATCGTACCCCTAAAATCTGCTTTGTTTTCTTTAAAGTTTGGGTTTTTTAAGCATGCTTTTACATTAATTTGCGATGTAAGTTTTTTTCAGCTTCGTTGCCGCTAGTCCTTTCCTGGATTTTTGTGTCTCTGTATGTGGCCGGGAAGGTTGAGTCGCACCTGAAAGGGCCTTTAAACCACTACAGCCAGTGACCTAGTGCGGGTACTGTTTTTTATTAATTTGCATGACAGTAAACTGTCTTGGTGAGGCTTACCTGTCACTGCAGTGGGGGTGACCATCTCTGGCAGAGGGGTATGGGTGGCAGGAATAAGTTGTTTCAACTGCGCATGTAGTGAACAAAGCAGGTTGAGGGTGGACATCTTTATTCTGACCATAGTATCCATAAGTGACCTCAGGATTCAACAAAGCTCAGTGCCTTTCTTTTCAGTTTGGGGCTTTGGATTTGGTGGTTTTGGTTTTGTTTTTCTTTTTTTTGGGGGGGAGAAGGGAGATTTTCCTTCCTTCCTTCCTTCCTTCTTTCCTTCTATATGGTGTTTTAAATATGGAAATTAGTAAAGATTTTGGCACTTGGTTCTTAACTGTTCCATTACATGGCTTACAGGGCACTTACAAAAATAAAAAAATTGAACTCTATATTAAAACTTTAACATGTCTCTTAATTGCTTTGGGAAAAAAAAAACAAATTACAAAGCAGGTTTCTGGTGCGTTCCAGAAGCATCCATGTTTAACTCTTCCACTGCTGTGGTTGTGTACGAGCAGGTTTGACAGCTTCTACTAGCAGCTATTTTCAAGTTAGTGAAAAGATTGAAGTAAGCCCTGCATTATTTCTTATCATTATAAATAACTTTCTTCTGTGGGCCTGTTGGTGGTAGACACAATTCCTGACTGGCCACTTCATATTTAAATATCTTTTCCCATATTGGGTATCTCTCTCCTTCCTGCCCACCAGCCCACACCTCAGCTCCCCCTTGTGCTTTTTGTAAATCGTCATAGCGTTAAAATGTCATTGCCTCCCTGTGTGTCTGGATCTCTTCACCCTGCTAAATTAAACCTAAAAAATGCTTGTATTGAGAAATCACTAATCCTGCACGTGTGTGCTTAGTGAAGGTCCCAAACCAGAAGTCATGGATCAGTTCCGTTACGGTTTTTTATCTACTTCCAACATTTTAGTTGGGGTCCCATTTGTGGTTTGACTCATTCCTAAAAAGCAAAAAAAACCTAAGCGCCTAATAAGCTGTGGAAGAATACTTGGGATAACTTCCACTGGTGTTCTGCATGAACTTGTTATAAAGGGAACGTCAAGAAGATATCTAAGATACTGAAATATTCCAGGGGTTTTTATGTGTGTGTGGTTGTTTGGTTTTAGGTTTTTTTGGGTTGGTTTTTGTTCTTTTTATTTTTATGATTTGTAATTCTTGTTTAAAGATGCCCCTCATTATCTCCTGCTTACAAAGGCAAGGGAGAGTTTCACACCTTGTGAGCTGAGGGTATTTAGAATCTTGATTCTCCATACTGGTAGGTAATTGGAAATGGTTGACACTTCCATTTCAGAGGAGACTTTTCATTTTGCAGTTAGACTCCCAAAAGAATTTGGTTCAGTCTAGATCTCTAATGTATTTGCAGCTGCTGAGATGGCTAGGTGATTCATTTGCTGCTTACACAGCAGTATAATTAACTGTATGCATGTAATTTTAAAAAGAAAAGAAAAAAACAAGTCTAGATATTGCAGAACTCTAGCACTGTAAGGCTGCTTTGGACATGACTGAAGGAGAATTCTTGTTTCTAAAACTAAACCTGCAACCAGGAAATACAAGGTGAGTAGTCAGATTTGATAGAAAATGGGAGTTAGTTACAGATGGACACATCTGCTCCCCCAAAAATGGCCAAATACATTTCTTACGCTGTTTAGCTGAGTAATTCTTGAAATTTTTTTCCATTCACTATTCACTCCTGCCCCCAAATATTTGAGTTTGAAAACTCTGTAGTCTTGATTATGCATAAGAACCGGAACCTTGCTGTTAAGATGAAGCAACTTCTTCAAAATAATGAGAAATGCATGCTAAGTTTGTTCTTTCTTATTCACAGCTTTAAAACTTAAAATATCCTCATGAACAACGAGAAAGTATTTTTTCAACAAGATGTTTAGATAACTTTACATGTTCTTTGTTCAGAATTGAATTTTCTGACATGCCTCAGAATCTAAATTGTTACCGTAGGTTGTCTGTAGCTTAATTAGTGCTAACTGGTTTTGTGATTGGCAGATATCTTAATAAAATATAATTAAACGCATTAGAACACAAGTACAAGATAAGTATGCAGCTGGTTCTTATCTGCATTATTAGGTTTATTTTAGAATACCTTGAGCAAATCAGGAAACCTTTATTGCTGTTAGTGACATAGTTCAAAATCCTGAAAGTGTTTAGAGGTTGGTTGGTTTGTTTGTTTTGCTTTTTTAAATTTAAAATGGAAACTATTACATCTGAGATTTATGGGGGAAGAATGCGTATTAACTTAATAAGGTGTTAAGATTTAATATAGTTAGCAGTGACCGAAATACCTCTGACTTCTTGATTATAATATTTGGAAGTTGATTTGAGTATGCCATGACACAAGTTTAAAGTCTTTGTTGGATCTCTTTGGCTTATTTCTGTGCATGTGTGTGTTTAAAAGTGAAGCATAGAGTTAAATATTGAAAGGTGATTTCTTGTTAACAATTATCTAGGGTATTTTTTTCTGCTCTAAGTGTACGTGATGTAGTATGTAATTCTGTAGATGTTTTTACATAAATTGTATTTTCTTCTTGCAGTCAAAGCTGGACGTATGAGAGTGTCTAAAAAGCAAGAAAACGGACCTGTTGCGAAAAATGCTAAACCTCCAGGAAAAGAAAAGACAAGGTATTGCACTGCAGGGCTTGTTCCCCCCTGCCCCATCGTTGAAGTTCATGAGTAATGGGCTGAATGTTGAAAACAAAGACAACTCTTAATCTCTGAAGAGTTTTTAATTCTTAAATTAACTTGTGCAATTTGTAGACAAAAGGCAGCTTTGAGGTAATCACCAACTTAAAAACACAAACAAACACACAAACAAAACCAAAAACCCCAACCCAAAAAACGCCAACTTCAAAACCTAAGGACAATGCCTTGCAATCAAAGGCAGAGGCTGAATCTTTTCTCTGTTGTCATGTGTTATGGAACAGAAATTGAAACAATGTGTTGTCTACCTGTACCTAATAAAGTAATGGTCAAACAGTTTCCAGTGGAATAACAATGAATTTTAGGCTCTCCTCATTCTGAAGGAAATTATACCCGCATCTCCCACCCCCACAAAGAGTCTATTTCCTGTATAGGCTATATCTCCTATTTCAATCTGAAATCTGATTTGGCTTTTTCTGTTTTCTACTTCATAAGGTTACTCAAGCTATTTTGCCCCAAAATGAAGGCATGCTTCTACCTTTGAATAAGGTAGCAGTGACTGGTTGAAGGGGTCATCACAACAAATATTTTCCTATAGCTTTGTCAAATGAAGACTGAATGTTTTTCTAAAATATATGCACTTTTCTTAAATATCACTTAACAAAAAGTTAAGTTGACCATTATAAGGATAAGAGGGTAATATTTTAATGACTTGCGTTCCTGTTTCATTCCCCTCAGAACAAGGACAGCCTGGAATTCATTCTTCCCTTGGAAACTGTTGAGCATTACTTTATTAGGTGTGGGTAGGGAACACATCTGTTGTTGTTTTAAAAGTGACTTTGTCATCTTGCTATGAAAAATCACTTGTAAGCAAATACTTTTACCTGTAGGAGTGGGCTCTGATTTCTGTCTGGATGTAGATGCCTCTCCTGTAGTCCCAATTTGGGACTAGTTTTGTGCATAAAAATAAACTGACTCAAAAAAAGAGTAAATATTCTGTTGTATCTCTTAAGAACAGAACTCCCTTCAAGCAGTCTTCATATTGTCCTTATGATAGCTTGCTCTGGGCTTGCTGGAAAGGCCTGTCCAAACTGGGAGCAGCTCTAGAATCACGTCTTTATTAAAACATATCTTGGAATTATCCAGAAAGCTGTGAATTACTCCTTCCACTGCTGGGGATTTAGGGACATGAGTTACTTTTTACCTAGGAGCCACCTATACTATGGAGTTTCTATAGTACCCAGGTAACCATTTATAAAAAGCCTGGATTAGGATAGCTAACTGGTCCGAGTGACTTTGTTCTGATACCCACTTTTTTTTCCACACTGAGATTTAAGTTGCCTATATTACTTTTGATAAACAGATTTACCTCTGGTGTTTCTGAATAGCTGCTGTCAAGAAGTCTTCCTTTTTAGTTGAATGTCTGTATGTACATCGCAATCATAGTATCAGTGTCTGACAGTCACTACAAAGTACTGTAATCTAGAAATGTTGTTGTGAAATAGATTATTTTGCCAGGAGTTTAAAGGGAAGCTTTTAACTAGACTGACAGCTGAACTCAGTTTTTGGACCAAGATGTGATTTTATTTTTTTCCTCTAAAATGTTGTAATCAGCTGGATAATGTTTAAATTAAGTGGATTTAGCCATGTTTAACACTGACATATTGACGCTATTTCTTGATAGACTACAGAAATCACCACTGTAGGTTTTTGTGTGTTTTTTTCCTCACTGGCTTGGAGGACACTATAACCAAAAATACAGTTTTTGGAACAAAGCTGAGCCAGTAACATGGACTTCTTTCCTGTTTACTAGCTCTCTGCACCAGAATCAATGGTTATTCAATATAGTATATGTACCTTCTTGGGATGATGGATTTCATTCTCAGGTTGCAATCACAGAAGTCAGAGAACTTTGTAAAGTAGTTTAGTAGCTATCACATACAGATTCCTTGCCTCTAAGTTTCTGGTTCCGATGAGATTAACTGAGAGGCTCAAAGTCGCCATCATAGCTTAAAGTGGCTACTAAGAGCTGAGATTGGTCTTGGCAGGAGCTGAGCTTTGAGATTCTCAAAAAAAAAAAAAAAAAAAAAAAAAAAAGCTTGCTCTAAAGTTGCTGTGTAATATATGGCATAATAGAATGTAATGCATCATGTTAATAACTAGATGCCTGCCTGACAGTTTTCTGACAATACATCACATTTGGCTATACCTCATTATTTGAGAAACTATTCAAAGTTTGGTGTGTTCTTGGGTTTTTGCTGTTGTTTTTTATAACTTGACTTGGGGTTCTTTTGGTTTGTATTTTTTTTGGAGTTAGAAGGTTTTTATTTTCGTTGATTGCCAGTTGTCTGTGTGTAGTTTTGCTGCTGTCTTTTCCATAGTCAGTTATCTGATGGCATAAACAGATCTTGAATAACTTATATTTGTTAGTGTGGCAAACTGTATCAATTGATAAATTGAAATTTCAGTAGGAAATGTGTCTTGCCCGATCCACAGAATCATTAACCTAAGCAGTATGTGGTTTTTCAAGAGTCACATTTAACGTATCTGATTCCATGTGTAAGGGTATTTATGATTTTTTTCTCAACTCCATTTTAAGCTACAGAGCTGTCACTGCAAATAATATTATCAGAAGAATGTGCAATCCACTGTTCTTCCTGTTGCTGAACTAAATTATTTCGCATCCACAGATTGTTTATTTGTGGAATATTGGTAACATGGCTGATCTTCATTGGAATATGAAGAAGTTAACGGGATAATCTTGCACAAAAAGTTCTTGCTTGACAAATTGCTGCTGTAAAAGGAAACATTCCCCAAAAGTACAGGGTGATTTTTTTTTTTCATCAGTCTAGATTGAAATCAAGAAAATTATAAAGTCAAATTTTGTAGCTCTGGATATGAGTGCTCAGCTTCTGTGAAGCTACTCCACAGTGTACAAAAAAATCCCTTTTGAGATACTTAAGGATATTTTATATATGTTTTTTTTAATAAAACTGTATCTAAATAAAACAGCCTGAAACACAAGATTTTACATTGTTCTGTTCTGAGGCAGCATACCTTTTTTTAGTCTTTAATGTGTTTAAAGGATTTAGCTCCAAAACTTAAGTTTCTATTACAAAATGTTTTGTATTAAGTCTGGAAAATGAAAGTGACAAGTGTTTCTGTGAGATGGAAATGCTAAACACTTTTTTTCTTTTGCTTTACAGTGCCATTGCCAGTTTTTCAAAAACTCAGAACATGGGTGTCTTGCTAGCAGAAGTGCTGAGCAAAGTAAGTACATCTGGAAGAACAAGATACATGTTTGTCAGGCCTTTGTAAAGCTAAACATTGGGGGGAAAAAAAAAAGTGAATTTTCCTTAAACTGCTGTCATCTGACATTTGTAGGTTTGTCATCTACAACTAAATATTCTTGAGATGATCTATTTCTTTAGCGGTTGTGTGGCTAAAATGCTAGATTTAGGGTTAAAAGTAACTACCCTTCCCTCCTTTCTGCTATGTTTTAATTCCATTCCTATTTAACGCTAAGTAGCCCCAGGGTAGTTATGTATAACTGTTACAGGAAAGTACAGCAAGATACTAAGGTATGTTGATTTAGATTTATTGAAATGTGGGGAAGAACTATCAGTGACATAGTAGGTTTGTGGCAGAGCTGGGATTACAACCCAGAACAAAACCTAGCCTTCGGTTCCCTATCCCACTGCGGAAATAGCTTTAACTTCTGTAAGGGTCCAACTTGGAGAAGCGCAAAGAGCTGCTTGAAGGAAGTGGATAGCGTCACTGGCAGGTGCCCAGTGGACACCACGATGGTGAGCTAATGTCAAGCTACTCTAAGCGATCCCCGAGACAAGAAGCACGGCACATTCCACTGTTGCCGCATATGCAGCTATTTCACCCGAGGCCTGACAGTCGATAGTCAAGCACCTTCTTGACTTCTCCCTTGGAAATACTACGAGATCATTTAAAATTTTGTGTCGCAAAGCTGTTGACGGACCCTCTATTTATCATTATGCTTACAACTACTGTCCAGTATCTCTTGCTAGGCTGTTGATGCAGAGTCTTACACCTATATTTTCCAAGAGCTGATTTAACAAGCAGCTTTTTAATTTGCATGATAATCTGAAGATCTGACAGTTGTCATCTATTTTTCATACACTTGCGGTCTTCAGGTTCTGAAGCATACAAGAGTTCTTCATCCATAGAGCTTAGTAAAACATCAGTTGCATCATTTCAACATAAGCCTTTCATCAACAGATGTGATTATAGCTTTAGTATGTAGATCTTGAATTTTTGCTTAGACTTGTTTATTAAGGAGCACAGATACAACTCATCCTGTTTCTCTTCCACTTGTCCCCATCTCCTCTGTTCTGACCTACCACTTCCTTTTCCTGTTGGTTTCCAGAATCTCACAGATGAAGCTTACTCAGTAGTTTAGAAAGTGATAATTAGATACTGTAATGATGATGATTTGAATCTGGGAAAATAAGAATTTCAAGCAACTTGCTTTTAACTCTGGAATACTGATTATTTGCTCTGCTTTCCTTATCTTGGCAGCTCATTCTATGAACTACTGAAAAAAGGGAGGGGAAAAAAATAAATAGTTCACTAAAGGTAGTCAGGCTAGTATCATTTTGAAAACTGAAATTATAATTCAATGTACAGAGTCACCATGAGTTTTATGTATCGATCATTTGAACTTTCTGTGGAGTTAGGTTTTGCTACCATTTTTAAACTACTTTTATATGGTGGAATTTAGGAAGAGAATAGCAAAAAAGCTGTATTCTATCACAACTTCCCCCCACCCACCTTTAATGTTACAGATGAGCCACAAAATTCATGCAGCAGCATTGCAGGTGGCTCACCAAAAGCCACACCCTGCCTTGGAGAAGTTCATACTGCCTAAAAGAATTTACATTATTCAACAACCACGGAAATGTTAAGATATTCATTAAAATACTCATGTTTACTTAAAAGTGAGTTTCTATTCTCAATAGCACTTAGCATGCTGTGGAAAAATGATCAAAAGTTGTGTGCCTTGTATCTTGCTGTATTTCTGTTACTGACAATAAAATGCTTTATAAGAAGAGTTACTAAATGTACTTGGGATTTATTAAAATACCATGGCTTCTGTCTAACCTGGTTTTACTAGTGTACAGTAAAACTTCAATGCCAAGAAGTCTAACAGCTTCACTTACTGTGTGAATTTTGACTGAAGTACTGGAAACTGTCAGCCGCCTTTTCTTTTTTTTCCTTTTTTTTCCCTAATTTAATGATAGCAAAGCTGAAGTGAACATGAACCTAAGAAAGCAGGTCACAACTGAAAACCATGTTTTTTGTTTTAATTTAGGCTGAGGTGTTCCATGCTGAATGTATGCCTTAGGCTTACTGCATAATAAGAAACTTCAGAAAGTCCTGGGAAAGATTTCTGTGCAGTAGAGAAAATACTTTTTTCTGGCATTTCTTTCTGTAAGGAAATCCAGCTCCTCTGCAGAGATTGCTCTGCTGGGATCCAGACAGTTGGAAGCACCAAGTGGAAAACAGTCCATGTGTGTGAACCCCTTTGGGGTTGGGGAGGGTGAGTGAAAGAACTACCTGACTTGGAGCTGAACCTCTGGGATGAGGGGGCAGATGGTGCGGGAGGAGTCACGGTGCGGAGAATGCAGTGATTGGAATATGGAATTTAAGGTTGGTAGAACGGCCTATGAGCCTGAAAAGCGATGAGACTGAGCATGGACCGGTAGTAGTAGGGTCTTGAGGGGTCAAGCTTAATAATGGGGAGGAGCAATTGTGCATACAAGTACAGGAAGTATCCTTGAGCCTTGCCTGCTTATACTGTCAGAGAAGGACAACAGAAATAGTCGGTCCTGCCCAGTCCAGAGGATAATACTCTCCTGCTGCTGCTAGTTGGTTGGGTAGCTTAGCTGACTTCTTGCTCTGAATTTAATTCTGCTGGGACTGGTTGGGTTTTTTTAAGGTAGTGATTGCAGATGAATATGCACTAAAATTGTAGTCAAGGAGTCCAAATAGACTTAATATGAAAGGTGATGCTCACAAATGTTTATGTTGTCAATGAGGCTTGTTTTTATAGTGTGCTTTCCACATGACTGCAGTGGGAATCTACCACAAACATACGAAACACACTTCCTCTTAAATAGAGGGATCCCAGGTGGGTTACCCAGAATTAGTGTTACCATTTAACATGAATGGCTGCTTCATTTCATCCATCCATAAAATGTAAATAACTTTATATGTTGATTAAAGATTAAATTATGATCACAGGAGGTGGTGATTAGTAGTATGTGCAATAAATAATTTGGTTATACCTTGAATAAGTAGGAAAAATGAAAATAGTGCTGCTCCTAGGAAGAAGACTTTTTTTCTCCCATGTTCCTTAACTGACTGGTAGCTACTTGTAAAATATTGTCACTGTTATCCTGGACAACAACAGCAATATACTTTATGGATATTAAAATTGTTGTACAGGATTTGGAAAACAGCTAGTTCTGCTTTTATATCATATATGGCACACTTGCCATTCCCCAGGCTGACTGTACGTAAATGAATAGCAATATGAACATAAATGATGAAACACGATTTGAGTTAAAGCTGTCCATCATGTGTGAAATGATTATTCATGCTGTCAAGGCCAAAAATAGCACCATGCACTCTAACATGTCAGTGGCCAATACATGCTCCCTACAGAAAGAATATTAGTAAGATCTTTATAATTCTAATCTTTATCCTTTTTGTTTCTGAAGAAAATCAATGGCTAGTGAAAAATTATAGGATCCGATTCTGAGGGCCTTTATGAATACTACTTTCTATGAAGTAATCTGCTTCTGAAAATTTATTTATATTCTGGCCAAAGATTTAATGCAAAATGATTTCTTGTAGGAAAAGGATTGTCTTTTCCCGAGTTACACCCAGCCCTCCCCTGGATGCTAGGTTAACTGGACACCCGATTGTTCTGGCCAGTTTGTGCTTAACATACACCTGAGTTGAGAAACCATTTGAACACCCTTTCCAGGTGCCCGGAAGGGATGGGACGTATCCTGGCACACAACAGAAATGGGTAACTCTGGTAGGTTGCACCCTGCTGTGAGGAGCTACTCAAATACTGTGGGAATGAGGGTATCTGGGATCCTTACTTCTATCCTACATCCCTAGAGTGGTTGGAAATATTACTATGTGCAGATTGCTCAGTGGGAATTCAACCTGTTACTGCAGTGCACACCCATGTTTTGATGTAGCATTAACATTGCTGCAAGTGGCGGTGAGGAAACCAAAGGATCTGACTACCCTTCTGTTAGTTCCTTGTTTAATTTTGCAGTTTGTTTTGTGTTGGGTTTTTTGGGTTTTTTTTTTTTAATGAATGTAATTTAAACTGTTTAAAGTAGTATGTTCAGGGTAGGGATGGCATGCTCAATGTAGAAGGAAATTACTTTCATGACATAAATCAGGTAGTCATACAGTCATTGTTTATGGACGTACTCGTTCTGTTTAAAAGGTCCTGAATACTACTCTCTAGCAAGTTCAATACTACATAGATGAATTAAGTGTATACAGTAACTCAAGTTCTGGAAGTATAGTGTCTACTGTATCAGCAAATGGGAGTTATGCTGCATAGGCTCAGCATATGCTTCTAAGAGGCTTCTAAGAAGCATCAGTCCTCCTGGAAAAATGAATCCATGCATGTGTGTTGCAGCAGTGCCTAGGATCTGCATATGTACAGAATGTATCTGGAGTGATGGTATGGTAGTTCCAAACAGCCCAGCAGAAAGCCTGCTTTAATGGAAAGTATCTTCCATGTTCTACCTGTATAAAAATGTTCAGGTGTAAAAAGAGGACCTAACAAGAAGTCAGGAGGTCAAATTTTGATGAACTCAGTTTTATGGTTTTACTAAATGTAGAGCAGGTGCAAGCTCCTCTTCTGCTATAACCCATATCCTGCAGAGCAAGAAATCCTGGCAACTGATGTATTTCATTTCCTGCTTCTGTAGGACGTTGTTCCTTGTGGTGGTATTACCAGTAGCGTTCCATACTTGCTTTTTGTGTCAATAGCACTTACTAGTCTTTGGAGGGAATCTGAAATATTTGTATGGAGAACAATCTAAACTCTTCTGCTTAAATGTATTTTATAATGAAGAACGTTCTATAATTAAGAGCACTCCCTTTTCAACCAAGTCAGTCTTTTACTCACCTGTTGTATTTTGACGGGTGCACTAAGTGCATTATTTTCTCTAATTTATTTCTATTTATTAAGGTGTCCTGCTTATAATAGTATTCTTAATAACAAGAGCTAAACAGAAAACTCAAACTGTATTTTGAACTTCTAAATAGTAGACAACTTAGTTTTTCATCCTGTTTGTGCTGTCCATTCTGTGTGTCATTTTAGTTTTGTGTTTGCACCATCATTGATGATACTATGATGAATTGGTTGTGTCTTCTGTTTTAGGGAGTTTGTTTTACTTAGTTCAAGTTTTAAATTAGTATTTTGCTTTCGTTATTTAAATAGGAACTACAGCTAAATTCAGAACATAAGAAACAAATACAGTTGGTTTGCCAGAAAAATCAAAACCTTGCAGGAAGCCTATTTTCAGGCTTCTTGAGGGTTATTACAAATGATGCAGGCATTCAACAAGAATGGCATGGTTTCAGGTAAATATTTCTTCTGTCGATCTTTATTTCATCATTTTGGTGGACACAGTGTTGGTTAATATACAGTTGTTTTTATCTGTAGACCTCAAAACACCTTACAGATACCGGAATGACTGAAGCCAAGTGGCAATGAAAGCAGTGAAAACAGATTTCAGTAAATGTTGATTGGTTCAACATATTGGTAAACAAGATAATGTCACACATTCTCTTTGACGACCTCAGACAGACATACATTTTGCTGAACAACTCTGCAGGGATGACTTTCCTCTTGGGCAAGGAAGAGTCTCTACCTTTAAGCACTTGACAGTCCCAGGTTGGGTGGTGCTTGACAGAGCTGTTTGGGAATTTGGCAGTGTGCAACTTTTAACTGGTCTTGAATGAGCTATATAGTGTATGCTGTTAAGTGTGCAATCTGAGGTCTGAATTGAGAGTATGTGATTTCCGACTCTTGTGTGAAACTGCAGCAGATGAAATGGCAAAGAAATTACACAGGGCAAATCTGGGAAGTTACAACAGAAGAGAACTATAAAAAAAGACTTAATTTTAATAAATAAATATTAACTGTTGTTTAAAGCCTCTATCCCTTCCAAGATGTATTGGTTCAGCCTGTTCCTCTCCAAGTAGTATGCACAGATTTGCAAATCATTTCAAGTAACCTCAGTAACCTCTCCCTGGTGTACAAACCCCAAAAGTTCTGGTAACTGGTATGCACATAAGCCTAAGCATTTACTGAGCTCATCTTTAGTTTCAGTGGTAAAGGAGTGTATTTCTAGAATGTAAAAAAAATCCCTTGGTCTAATCAGTGTCATCTGTGATACGCCTATTGTGATTGTTCCTGTTGTGCGTAAGTCCCATAACAGGTTCACGGTAGAGCACCTCGTGGTTTTGAAAACCTCGCTGTCCTTGAGGACCATTGTTTCCACGTGCTGCCATTCCTCCTGTTCCCTTCCTGCATCTTCTAGACTGTCCTTTCCTGCTCAGCGTAAGCAGGACAGATACTTGCAGCTGGTCAGTTTAGCTGGAGGAATGTACGCTACACCATTTTGGACCACTTGTGAGTTAAATCTTTAATTTAAAGAGGGTAGGTGTCATGGGACTCACTGCAGATACCAGGGTTCCATTTGTTTTGCCTTCCAGGCCTACAGCATTGTCTGACTGTTTCTTGTCCTCCCTGCTGTCAGCTGAAGGGCTGCTGCTGTGCCAGCATTCTGCAGAATACAGTACTGAGTGAAAACACTCCTAACTGTTTTCAGTCTTGCTCAGCTACTGTAAACTCTAAAGG